CTTGTGCAGGGTTACTTATATACAATAGCTATTGGGAAGCCATATCCCACCTTGCTGAATAAGTTTCACTTAGAGTCACATTCTCAGTCATACATATATTCTACTTCATGGCTAAAATGTAGATTAAAACACCCTCCCAGATTCAAGTCAGCATTCAGCCTTTTAACAAAAGGCTTCTTTATAACAAAAGTTACAATTTCCACATTGCAACTTACTCAAGTAATTGGGGACTTATATTCTAATTCACTTCCTATAAAGTTATTTTGACTGTAATAGAGTTCATTGTAATTGGTTGTTACGACATACAAGATTTCAGTAAGTTTATCCAGAATTTTTCAAGCCTCCAACTGTCTAAGACCTCATCCCATATTCTCAGGCCATCTACGTGCTTAGCTAAATGTAGCTTGAAGTGCAAGTTACATTTTAAATTATATTAGCTTTTGCTCCAAATACTATTGGCAAAGCAAAACAGTAGTCAGGCTTCAGAGTAGCAGCCATGTTAATCTGTATTCACAAAAAGAAAAGGAGTACTTGTGGCACCTTAGAGACTAACAAATTGTCACCCATAAATGATGGTATTGAGTTTGAAGGCTCACAGATAGAAAAAAATTAAAACCTCTCAAGGAAACTAGTATTTGTGTAGGCTGCTGGAGATGGTATATATTCCAAATAAATTGGTGCACTACTGCAAAGAGTTGCCACTTTTAAAGATAGAATTGAAACATATAATGACTGCTTAGGTTTACATATCTACCTGAGGGCCGAATCCTGCTTTTTCCTCAAGAGTGAGTAGTCCCATTGAAATCAATGACATCATTTGTGTAAACAAGGCATGAAAAATTCACTCACTAAGAGCCACCAGGAAAATGTCCCCAGCAAGTGGTAAGGAGGAGCAGAGAAGGAGGGGGTTTTAGCTATGAATTTTTCCTGTCATTTAAAATTTCATATTTTAATAACAATGCTTATAAGTCCTTACAAATGCCAAGACTGCCTTCCAAGTGCAAGCACAAACTGTTATGCTGCTGTTTTCTTAAATCTGAAAACAAACAGCCCACTACCTCTACAACTTATCAAGCTTTCCCAATCTCCCCCCAACCCCCTCACTTTCACTTTCTGCTACTATTCAGAAACCCATGGGTAGCGGTGAAACTGACAAGAATCATGTCAATTTTACTCTGCTGTTGCTTAGAACTTTCCCAGGCAGCAAATGACCCAGGGACTGATGCTACTCATGAGAAAGACAACACTCCTCATTTCTTCCTTTACAAAATAAAAGGAGGCTGGGAGAGGTAAAACAACAGGAACCCTCACCCTCCCATCGCAAAACAGCGAGAAAGCTCTGGGTGGTAGTGATGATGCTGGAAAAAGAGGAGGAGAGTGTACTAACTTGATTTATATATATTTTAATGAGATGACAAATGTGGTTGATAGAGGTAATAGCGCTGATGTATACCTATGCATATGACTTGGCACCGCTTGACATTTTAATTAAGAAACTAGAGGACCACAAAAATCAACATGGCATACATTAACTGGATTAAAAAGTAGCTATCAGGGTCTCAACATTTAATTGTAAACAGGGAATCATCATTGAGCATGTGTGTTTCTAGTGGAATCTCACAGGGAATGTTTCTTAGACATATTCTTTTTACCATTTTTATCAATAATCTGAAAGAAAAGATAAAATAATCACTGATAAAATTTGCAGATGACAAAAAGATTGGGGGAACTGGTAAATAATGAAGAGGGTAGATCACTAATACAGAGAAATCTGGATTATTAAGTAATCTGGGCACATACAAACAATATGCATTTCAGTATAGACAAATGTCTATCCTGGAAAGCAGAGACTGAAAAAGATTTGGGATCATGGTGGATAATCAGATGAATATGAGCTCCCAGAGCAAATGCTGCCTAAAAACTAATGTGATCTTTGAATACAAAAAGAAGAGACTGTCGAGTAGGAGAAGGGAGGTTATATTATCTCTGTGTTTGGCACTGGTATGTCCACTACTGGAATACTGTACCCATTTCTGGTGTCCACAATTCAAGAAGGATATTGAAAAATTGGAGAGGATTCAAAGAAGAGTCACAAGAATCATCTATGGATCCATGCCTTATAGTAAAAGTTCCAAGGAGCTCAATTTATTTTTCTTAATCAAGAAAAGGTTAAGGGGTGATTTTTTTTATTGGCGATTACCTTGGCTTGTTGGATTTTTGAATTAAGGACATAGTCTATGGAACGGCAGCACTGCACCCTCCACTCTAACAAAATGGAGTGTAATTGGCAATTTAAACATAAAAGTCAACTGCATCGTTTTACTAGAAGTAGTACTACTTGTAGTAATCATTGTCTTTTACAGATAGAAAAGACTTATCAGTTCATAGAATATCAGGATTGGAAGGGACCTCAGAAGGTCATCTAGTCCAACCCCCTGCTCAAAGCAGGACCAATCCCTCAATTTTTGCCCCAGATCCCTAAATGCCCCCCTTAAGGATTGAACTCACAACCGTGGGTTTAGCAGGCCAACACTCAAACCACTGAGCTATCCCTCTCCCCCCATGCTGTAGTTCTGTAGTATGCAACTCATGACACCCCCATTGCACATATATAGATTTGTAGGATCAAAGTACCTGGTAAATGATATGTGGGGAGGTGAACAGAAAGTTCCTGAATGTGTTTGAAAGTCTGTGTGATGTTAAACCAACATGTTAAACCAGTGCAATTTTGTGTATGAACATTCATAACAGATTAGACAGTCCACAATCCAAATTGCATCAGTTTACCTAAAGGTGTGATGTTAAACTGATTTAATTAAATTGGTGCAAGTTGTGTGCACAGACCAGGTCTGGGATGATCCAGGGTTTTGTAAATAGATGAAAGGGAAAGCTTGTTGAAGGTTGAGGGCTGGTGTACACTGAAACTTTACATCAGCATAGCTACTTCTTTCAGAGGTGTGAAATATCCACACCCCTGAGAGACATAGCTATGCCAGCCTAACCTCCAGTGTAGACAGTACTAAGTCAATGGAAGAATTCTTCCATCAGCCTAGCTACTTCCTCTCGGGGATGTGGATTCACTACAGTGACAGGAGAATCCCTCCCATTGCTGTAATCTGTGTCCACACTAAAGTGCTACAGTGGTGCAGCTACAGCTGTGCCACTGTAGCGTTTTAAGTGTAGACATTCCCTCATTCTACAACTAACTCTACAAGGGGTATGTCAGCACTAGAATGCTATAGCGGCACAGCTGTAGTGGCGCTGCTGTAATGCAGACACAACAGCAACAGAATTTTTTCATCAATTTAGCCATGTCTATACCAGGGGCTTAATTTGACTTAATTACATCACACAGGGCATGACATTTTTCACAACCCCTGAGTGACATACTTAAGCCAAGCTAACGTTTTAATGTAGACCAGACCTAGTGGGCTAAGTGGACTCCAATCTCTACAAAAGCCTGCAGCTACTTCGGGGGTCTCAAATGCTGAAAAACTATTTTCATTTATTTTTAAATATTAAATTTGGGAGGGAGGTGGGATCTTGCTTTGTAACTGAAATGGAAGCCAGATATTTGAAAGTCCTCTCATGGAATTTTCAGTTGAATGATTTTCCCAACTTCCAGCTTGGTGATTAATAAATCCCAGTAGACAGCTGTCATCGTCACAAAAAAATGCAACCCAATGTGCATTTTTACTTGCTACCTCAGCAGAGGTTAATGAGAGAATGAGAAGGGAGGTTGAACTACCCTCTTACTCATAGAGGTAGTCCATCCAGCTCAGTGTTGAAGCATATTGGTAGAGAGGTTCAGAGAAGTTGGCGTTGCACAATTTATTTTCTGCAGAGAAATACATTTAGGCCAGGGAAAGATCATTACTTTGGAGTAATTCACCAACACTAAGGCTTGGTCTACACTAGGAACTTATGTCAGTATAACTACATTGCTCAGGTGCGTCTAAAATCCCCATCCCATAGTGACGTAGTTATACTGACCTATTCCCCAGTTTAGATAGTGCTGTGTCAATGGGAGGACTTCTCCTGTCCATATAGCTGCCACCTCTCAGGGAGGTGGAGTACCCTCGCCGACGGGAGAAGCTCTCCACAACAGGTACCATCTTCACAAAAACAGCAAATTGTAAACCACCCCCCCAACAAACGTTATGCCTACATAAAGCACTGAGAATATAGTCCTAAATATCCAGAAAGCATAAGTAAATCCCACATGGCTGTCACTATCACCTCATATCATCAACCCCCTTCCCAAAAGCCTGGGACAGGAGATGAGCTTTGCAGCCTCCTGAATGTTAACAAACATGACCTCTATCATAGCTAATAGAAAGTAAATGCAAGAATTGAGGCCCAACTCGTATCATCCATACTCTTCAGTTTTATCCAAGTAGGTATTTACCTGACTGTGTTGGTGATCTTAACTGCAGCAATATCAGAAGGTGAGATTGGTTAATGCTCATCTAAGCAGGTGATCCTTGACTGGGCCTTCAACCAACCCAACAGTGGCATGATGTGTAGAGAAAAGTTACAGCAGGGTCTGCTGGCCATTCCTGTCCCTGTACTAGAAGGGAAGGGAAATAGCATCCCAAGTAGGATTCTGCCTCAATTCCCCCCAAGTCAGGGATCAAGGCAATGATAGCTCACTCAGGCAATTGGATCCATCTGGAGTTTGGGGGTTCACATAGGGTAACAGAGGCCTCTTATTTGGGGGGCATCCTTTATTTTGTTCCCCCATCAGCTCACACAAGACAGACATTACCCCCTAGATGACTGTATGCTGCACGATGGTGTGTGTGTGTGTGTGTGTGATTTTGAACCATGTAGAATTTTGTACCACGCAGAAAACCACCATGCAGGGCTGCCCTTAGAAACAAGATCTAGCTCCTATAATCCACGCATGGAGATTGCAGGCCACCCCATAAGCCCAGAGGAGTGGGGGCTGTACTGGCACAGGGTGGCAGTCCAGGGCTGTGGAGTGGAGGCAGACTTACCTAGGGAATCTCTCCTTCAGCTTCCTCAGGCTCTGTCTGGTGGGCTGCACGTGCCCCAGGAACTGGGCTATTTCATCATACTGGGCTTTACTCAGCTTCATGCCTCGCACTCAGGAACCTCCCAATCATACAACGCAGGGCTGCAGCAGCCAGAAGGGAGGAGGGGGGCGCGCCCGCTCTAATCCTAGGGGATGGGGAGAAAGGAGAATGGCGCTGCTGCCGCAGCAAAGCTCTGACACCCCGCGCGAGCGCCCAGCGTTGAAAAAGCCCAGCGCCCATGCGCGACAGTTACCGGCTCCTGCCGCCCCGCCCTTGAGGAATAAGGAGGTGGGGGGGAGAACGAGCGGCGGCGGCGGTTGGGAGGAGTTAACGCTTGAGGGCGGGGCTGCGCCACGCCACGCCGCAGGCTCTTCCGCGCGGTGGGCAGGCTCTGGCTATGCCTGAGCAGGTAGTCGGTTGCTGCGGCCATCTGGCTACTCTAGTCCCACGGTGCGCCTCCTTTCCGGCCGCTGGTGCAAAGGGAGTGGAGAGCTGTGCCTGCCCCCCCGCCGCCCCAGCTAAGTGGGGCGGTTACTCTGTGGTTGCTGCCCTCACTGGTTGCATACCGTAGTGCTGTTCTTTGCCCCTGCCATGGGAGGTGGAAGTGCAGCTTCCGGAAGGACCAGTTTGGGGAGGGCCAGGGGGAAAAGCATCCCTTGAGAGGGATAAAAAAAAATGGGGGTACTTGTCCCGTGACTCGCTTCCTTCCCTGGCCTGCATCTTTGCACGGACCAGGAAGTGGCTCACAGTGCCAAGAGTGTGAGTAAAGGCCTCATACAAGCTGTGTAGCCATTGAGGGATACAGGGGGGCAAGGTTTGGGAAGGACAAGAGTTGGCACCCTGTGTGAGTATGCCCAGAGATCTATGGATCCTAAAACTGTTACTGGGAGGTCAGGCCTCCTGACCCACTCTGTTACCTTTAATCCCCCTCTCCCTTAGTCCTTTCGCCTTTTCTGCCTTCAATAAGACACTGATGTGCCACTCCAGTCCCTTGTTTCAACTTTTGTAGTATTTTTAAACTAAATTACTTTTCACCGTTGTCACTGTTTGTTTATTTGGTTCTGTCAGTTTCAACAGAATAAATATACTGGTCAATGTCATGTTTGTTTCTAGCTAGCATCTTCCTCTCATACACTGTACTTTTGGAATTGCAAACTCAGTACAGTAAGGTTAGTGTACCTAGCAATAATTTAACCTCCAAATAAACATTAAAATAGGATTTTATAAAATATAATTTTAAGAAAAGTATTCCTATTATGGATTTTATTTTAGTGCTGTGTATTTAAAAATTGTCTAGAAATACCTGGATGATAGGAGCTCCTTTTTAATAAATAATTGTATGTTGTTACCCCCTTCTTGATCCCTCTTAGACAGTTTACAGGCTCTTATGGGTTGTTTTGGTTAGGAGGAGAAAAGATGATGGAGTCAGGGATTTCTTTGATGCACTCTTGTTTATTTACAAAGCCTTGGTTCCGGGAACACAGTAGAAACCAAATATAAGATAGCTTCTTTGCTTACAGTTCCAGTCCTCTTTAAAAAGCCAGCACTTTATCAAAAGCTCTCTCTCAGCTTTTTCTTCGGGCGAGTCATGCTCCATAGCTTTCTGGGGCTACTTTACGCCCTCTCTGTTTCTGTGGTGTTTCTGCCCCTTCTCTCTCACATACACCCCTGCTATCAATCCCTTGTCCCTGCCTTTACATTCTGTCCACATAATTCAGATTCCTGAATGGCTTTACATATGGCCGGTGTTTTAGGTGGTGGCTCGTATTGTTTCAGATATTGCTAAACAAAGGGGCATTTAATTGTTCCCTCATGTAGCCTGAATGGAAGGCATCCATTATGCCCACCAGCTTCACCAACACCCAGAATAACAATATAAACTTGAGGCCTTAACTGCAAAAAATTATACATGTACTTCATGTTACATATGCTAAGCCAATGGGACTACTTGCATTTTGTAAAGTTAAGTACATCTATAAAGTCGCAGTGCCAATACCATGTTTTTAGATATAGTGAGTCAATCCACAAATATCTTTGAAACTGACTTAGAAATCATGAGAGATTAAAAAAATAATATTTGAGATCTTTGTGTTTGCCTCCTGGTTTTGAGCCTTTAAACATTGGCGTAGTTTGACTTCTATATTGGGGGTGGAGGAGCAGCTCAAGTCAGGCCAATGGGGCTGCACACGGGGGCAGCAAATTCTGCACCTGCCCAACCCTTGCAGTTTGCAGGGGAATGCCCCCACTCCCAAACTATGCTCATGCCTTTATGGATCACATTTTCAAGTTTTTTGCTACCATGAGAGCTAGAAATTTGCTTATAAGAGAAAAGAAAGCTGATATTCTCACAGGGGTTGTAAGAGATGGGGCTTTAAGAAAAACACCAAAGATTTCAAAACTTGTGATAAATTTTCGCTTTTAGGCAACAACAGGATATGTGCTGAAATGTTTGAAGGAAAGGAAGTAATTAACACTCCAGTCCCACAGTTAACTGTGGGCAGGGTACTCTGGTGTGTCTGCACAGAGTCCCCTTAACTTCAGTGGGGCTGTGTTTGCACCCAAAAGTCTTCCCCTGGCCTAAAGAAACAAAAACATATTTTTAAGTTTCAGTGAAAACAGTGATTCGTTTTCACCTCAAAATTCCCATGCAGAAATTGCAACCAATCTGGTACATTTCACATAGTGGTTGAGAAACAAAAAGTGAAACTGGCTAGAAATAAACATGAAATAAATCAGTCTATTTTTCACAGTCTTTGCTGAGAGAAGGAACAAACAGCATTATTGGTGGAAAGTAAACTATTTTTTTTAAAACAAGTTTAATGATCTAAAGTAAGAAAGAGAGCAAACAGTTTGTATTTACACATTTACATACACATTTTAACCTAACAGTAGATCTTTAACTTTTCTTTTTCCATAGAAGTGGAGAACTTGGCCCCATACTAGCAAGATTCTATTTGTCCACTGATTACTTTTGGAACAGAAAAGGTAAGTTAAATTTGTAAATGAAAAAATAATAATATAGTATCCACTTCTTCAAGTTGTTCCATACAGGCAGTCCTCGTGAAAGAACCCGTGCAGAAGTTCTTGAAACCAATGAGGCTCTACCCATGTGAGACAAAATGCAGGATTGATGATTTACTTCCAATTTTTAAAATATGAATTAGGCCCTGATGCTACAAAGGCTAGTTACGTGTGTAACTTACTGATGCAAGTAACCTCATTGAGTTCAATGGGATTAGCCATGTGAGTCAACTTCTATGCAGACATATGTCCTTGTAGGATGAAAACCTAAATATAATAAAAATAATAAAATAGCGTTATGATTAAAGGCAGCCGTGCCAGCGATTTGTTTGCATTTGTAATGACATATTGTCTGTTCAACTCTATTTTTAAAATGTGGACTGAGGATTCCAATCAAAAATACACTGATTTTTGTTACAATGTGGCTTTTTTAAAAAAGGCTTGTTTTGTTGTTTTTTAAAACATTGGTCAGTACCAGGACACCAGCATATACCCCAATCTCCATAAAGTGTGAGCTGTCCAGGACACTTCAATACAGAGATGTCACAGATACATTTGATAGAAATTGAGAAAGATCCCTATTTTAAAGGTGGCTTGTGTCTGAGATCAGTATCTGTGTCTGAAGGTTAGCGTTTAAGTACTGTGCTTGTTTACCTGAAGAAACCCAAAGAAATGAGAGAAAAATAAGAGAGCATAATTTAAATAATTTCTCTGCAAACGTTACTAACTATTCTACAAAAATATTACAAAGAAAATTCAGTAGTTCTATTCAAAATTATTGTTTTTAAAATTTGGAGGCTAATTTCAGTTATTAAGACACGAAGCAGGGATTTTGATCCTTTTTTACGACCAACACAGTCTTAATTATGGATTTGCTATTGAGGCCTCCATAAAATGTGTTTGCATATATGTATTTGTATATGTATGTATTTATGTCTATATAGCATCTCTAAGAGCTTAGAACAAAAGGAAGTATGTATATCTATATATAATCCTTAAGTAGGTGGCTTTTGCCATGTTTATTTTATAAAATCCAGGGTATGGTTTCTAGATTTAAAAAATGAAATTTGTGGTGGGCAAAACTTAGAATAAACATTGATCTTACTGTTCCTGGAAACTTAGTAAGAGTAATGAAGGAAACACATTTGAATACAGACGGATTGATCACAAGTTCACAGGTGGAGTTTGTTTCTTACTGAACTAAATACCACTTTGTGGTCATTTTCCCCCCTACATTCTCTTAGTAGCAACAGAAATTGTAGCACTGAAAAGAATGGGAATCATACACGCATTCTCTTTCTCTCTTTTTGTCTCTTGTGCCTCCACTATAACTATACATCCCCTTCCTCAGAGACCAAATACACAAAAATGATACAAGATCTTTCCTTAAAGCAGAAATAATCATATTAAATATAAAAAGATTTTATTTTCTTTAGCTCTGAAAAGTAATATCTTCTTTCTTTAATATTACAACATGCTGGGGAAAACCCTTTTCAGTATGATATCCATTTTAAGCCCCATGAGGGTGTAATTTTCCTCGGCTCCAGAAAGGCTCATTTTCCCCTTTCTTGCCAAAGATTAGAATTACCTGTACTGCTTCTTCCGGAAATGGAAGTTTTATAATAATTACCTGCTCCTTCCTCACTGCTACTTCTTTATAAACAAATAAATTATGCTCTTAAAAAAAAGTCTTGCTGTCTTCTTTGTAGGATAATTTCCATTGAAAGTGATTTTTAAATTGTAATGTTACGTTCTGTAACTTGTAGATTTATCTGTGTACATTTCCCAGGTTCAGTACTAAATGTTCTTGAATTTTTTTTAACGAATGTTACTTCATCTTACAAATCACAAAAATGGGATAGATTAGAACAGGGATGTTAGATTGCCAGTCCACAGACCAGACTGGGCTTATTATTTATTAGGTCCTCATAACACACTGTGATTCTGTGAAATTCCAGATTTTATTTAAAAATAATAATAAAAAAAACTTTCTGGCTCTTATGGTCATTAAGAAAATCTAACAAACATCAACCAGTGTAGTATGGTCTCTGAGTGAAGCAACAGCTTTGAGAGATGTGAAATCCCCCCATTTATCTAAATGACATGTTAACTTTGAAGCCAGGGCCTGAATTGCTAAAAACATAAATGGGACAATTCAGCATGCAAAATGTACGTGTCCTTGCACACCCAATTTACATGGGTAATTATTGCAATTACATGTGCAAATAGCCAAGGAAACAACAGCAGAAACAGAG